ACTTTTGGCGTCTTATGGAGCGTTTCTCGGGCCACCGTGCTGCGAATCGTGGTCTCGGGCCATAGTTTGAACGCTTCCGGAAGCCGTCTCGGGGCAATTCTGGGCAGTCATAATGTCTCTGTCGGCAGTTTCTGAACCCTCCTGGGCCGTCCTGGGGCTCTCTTCGAGTGTCAGGAAGCTTGTTTGTTGGTCGCGTTGAAATGCCTTTCGGTGCCTCCCGGGTGTTCTCGGACGCCCAGAAGACCGAATAGTTGAGCATCCCAAAATCATATAAAAAATATGTTCTTTGCGTTCCGAATAGCTCTTGGGGGGGTTGGGGGGATATTCGTCTTGGGAGTCTCTTGGGATCGCCGCCGACCCATTTGCATGGCTTGGCAGGGACTTCCAGAGGCCCGGAAATCTCGCGGGACCCTCTGAGGCGTCCAGGAGCCCCGGACGCCAGGGATCCCATTTCGAGGGGGGGGTCCGCAGGGCCCCATAATATTAAATTATAGACAAGGGAATATGGCGAGAGAGGAGGAGACATGGAGGGCGCGCCGCTGGATGTCCCCGGGGGGGGGGGCCGGTTGGAACCCCCCCCCCTTCCCCGATCCGTCGTCGGGGACCCCCCCCCTTCCCCTCTTTCCCCATCCGTCGTCGGGGCCCCCCCCCTCCCCCCCTCCCCCCCTTTCCCGGTCCGTCCTCGGAGAACCCCCCCCCCTTTCAAAAAGGGGGGGAGGGGGGGTTCCGAACCCCCCCCCCTCCCCCCCTTTGGCCGCCAAATTCAAACCCCCCCCTCCTCCCCTCCTTCCGCCACGGCGCCCCCGGTCTCCTGAACCCGACCCCAACCACCCCTAACACTAATCCTCACCCTTACCCTAACCCCCAACCTTAATCCCAAACCCAAACCCTAGCCCCATTCAGCACTCACTACTCATTACGCACTACGCACTACCCACAATTCACTACTCGCTACAAACTACTCACTTCTCACTACTGACTACTCACTATTCACGACTCACTACGCACTACCCACGACTCACTACCCACTACCCACTACTCACTACTCCCTACTCCCTACACACTACTCACTACTCACTACAAACTACTCACTACTCACTACCCACTACTCAATACTCACTACTCACTGAACACAACTCACAACCAACGACTCACGAATCACGAATCACTACTCACTACCCACTAACGACTATCCACTGCTCACTACTCACATTTCACTATTCACTACTCACTAATTTCTACTCGCAACGCCCTACTCACTACCCACTACTGAATACCCACTTCTCGCTTCTGACTACTCACTATCGACTACTCGCTACTCGCTACTCCCTACTCCCTACACAGTACTCGCTACTCACTACTCATTACTCCCTACGCCCTACTCGCTACCCAATACGCACGATTCATTATTCACTACTCACCACTCACTACGCTCCCACTACTCACTACTCACTACTTCCTACTCCCTACTCACTACTCCCAACGCACTACTCACTACACACTACCCAGTACCCAATACTCACTACTCACTAAACACTACTCATTGCCCACTAATCACTACTCACTAAGCACGACTCGCTTCCCACGAACCACTATCCGTTATTTACTACTTGGTATTCACAGTTCACTACTCACTAAGCACTGCCCACAACGCACTACTCACTATCCACAACTCGCTACCCAGTACGAAATATTCACTACCCACTACGCACTACTCGCTACTCAGTACTCACTACTGCCTACTCCCTATTCACCAATCACTAGTCGCAAGTCGCTACTCACTATTCACGATTCACTAGTCACTACTCAGGACCCACTACTCACTACTCACTATTTTCTACTCGCAACGCCCTACTCACTACCCACTACTCAATACCCACTTCTCGCTTCTGACTATTCACTACTCACTACTCACTACTCCCTACTCACTACTCACTCCTCACTATTCACTACTCAGTACTCCCTACTCCCTGCTCGCTACGCACTACTCCTTACTCACTACTCACTACTGACTCCTGACTACTGCCTCTTCACTACCCACTACTCACAAGGCCCTACTCGCTACTCACTGCTCACTATTCGCTACTCCCTACTCGCTACTCCCTACTCGCTACTCGCTACTCACCACTCACTACTCACTACCCTCTACTCACTACGCACTACTCACTACTCACTACTCACTACACACTCCTCGCTATTCACTACTGTCTACTCCCTCATCCCCACTCCCTGTTTACTACTCACTATGCACTACTCACTACACACTAAGCACTACCCACTACCCACAATTCATAATTCCTTACTCTCTACCTCCTTCCCACTACTCACTACCCACTACTCACTACTCACTACTCACTAATCTCTACGCGCTACTCACTACTACCACTACCCATTACCCAGTAGTCACTATTCACTACTCACGACTCACTGCGCACTACTCACTATCAGATACCCACTACTCATCAATCGTTACTCAAAACAGTCTACTCTCTACTCTCTACCCGAGAGGCCCACTCCCCAGCCCCCTGTTCGGCGCAAAGGGGGGAGGTGGGGGGAGGGGGTCCGGACCCCCCCCCTTCAAGGGGAGGAGGGGGGCGGGGGGGCGGACCCCCCCCCCTCTTAAGGGGGGTAGGGG